AAGGGGCCTAACGGTCTGCAGGGGCTGTTCGCGGGCCTGAAGGGCGTGTAGGGGCGGCGCGCGGGCCTTACGGGCCTCTAGGGGCAGCGCGCTGGCCTAGGGCAGCAGGAGGCAGCGCTAGGGCTGCTGGACGGCGCGCATAGTGCAGCACGTCACAAGGCAAGGCAAGGCAAGGCAGGCAGGTACGTGGGGTAGCGCGGTAACCGCAGCGGTAGGTGGGCCCGAAAAAAAAACGGTCCTACGGACCTTAGTTCTCTGAAAACATGTTAGAATCTAGCAGCAGGAATGGATGAACTAGCAGGATGTAGGAGTACAAGTAGTAAACCCTAATTGGGTTGTACCCCATATGGGCTACACCACTACAGACTAGACAATATGCAGCACAAATAGTTTGACAGATGTAATAAATTGCAACAACGCAACCACTCAATGGCGGATCTGCATTTACTAGAAATACTACATATTATAATGTATGTTCCATTTTAGACTAGCTAGTATATGTGGCACATTGTAAAAATATTGGAACATTGTAATATCGTGTTCAGCGAGCATCGTGACTAGCGATTATCGTGACTACCGATTATCGTGACTAGCGAGCATCGTGATTAGCGAGGATCGTGACCTGCGAGCATCGTGACTAGCGAGCATCGTTACAAGCGAGCATCGTGACTAGCGAGCATTGTGACTTGCGAGCATCGTGACTAGCGAGCATCAAGACTAGCATCGTGATTGACATCGTGAGAATGTAAACCGTTAAGATGTATAAGTAAATTTCAAATAAATTCCTTTATCAATCCGTTAAAATGATTGAAACCAATTATTCTAAAAATAGATTGTTCAATCAGATCAAAGAAAAACATAATAATACTAAGAGAAGCTAATCTAAAGAGGAAAAAAATTAATTGATAACCTAGTAGATTTAGCTAGCTTATGGATATGTTAAATCGCTACAACGCAATGGCGCAACGATCGAGCGGCGTAATGATTGAGCGGCGCAGCGACGCAACGAGGTCGGTGTTACGAATCGTAATATTTGATATTACTGTGCACTCCTCACCGCAGCAAAGGGAAGCAGGCAATGTCGAGAATGAACGTGAAGCGACCGACAGTTGGAATCAAACCGAAGAGTCAGACGGTTACAGCACATCTGGACCGTCGGAAGGAGACGGCATCGGGCAGCTGCAGGCAGAATGGTTTTGGCGGGAACAGTTACGAAACTGTACGCGCCGCACGGTTGGGAATGAATTTGAATAAAGGAATGAACCCCTTAGAGTACATGGCTAGTTAGGTCGTTTCGTATTCCCTTGTACTCATATTTATATTTCTTGTATTTGCATGTTTTATTTCATCTCAAAGCATTTTACATTCACTCTGCTATTGAGGTCAAGGGCCCACCAAACTATCTCACTGCGTGCGAACCTTCCCGGGTAGATCCTGGGCTATGATCAACTTCTGATCGCAGCATGGTATGAGAGCGGCTCGGGAATCCTTCGCACTGCCACTCCCGAAAATTGCGACATTCGGAAAGTGGCGTCCGGCACATGCTCACGAGTGAAGATGGCCGGAGGATCTGGTGGTCAGACCAATCTGACGGCTGAAGCGCAACCAAACCCGGCTGCGACAAGCGAGAACACGACGACAATCGGCTCCGAAGTTCCCGCACAACTTCTTCAGCGACTCACCAGCTTGGAGCAAGGGCTCCGAACATTGCGGAATGGCGACGCGGGAACATCCTCACAACCCTCTCAACCGGCCCCGACTGGCCAGAACGCCACCTCGCAAACATTCTCCCTCGACACCAATGGCTCAACCCCCAAGACTCCCCGTCCCAGTGAAGAGGCAGTTCTCTCCGCCCTATCAAGGTTACTCAGCATATCAAAAATAAAGACAAGTACCTGTTTTGACGGCAGAGATTTTTATACCTGGAGCTTCGAGTTGGAGCTCCTGCTGCAGAACGCCCGAATTTTCCATTATTTTGACGGGAGCTACGCGGAGCCCGCTGAGGACACTGACGATGCCAAAGCGAGGTATTACGACGAATCGTTGATGGCGTACGGGGTGCTCCTGCGGAATATGTCGCCGGCAGAGCAGCTCAACATTCGTTCTTACAAAACTTCGGCTGCTCCAGCCCTTAACGCTTGGCGGCACCTGACAGGAGTCTATCAGCCCAAGGACTCTGTCTCTTCGAGACGACTACTCCAGGAACTCCTGGAAACCAAGATGATAGCGGGGGAGAAGGTCAACAATTATCTCAATCGCTGTCGGAGCCTTCACGACCAAATCGTGAAGCTGGGAAGCACGATTTCAGAGGAAATCTTCGTCAACATCGTGCTTCAAGGGCTCGGCCCAGAGTGGCGGCCCTGCAAGGCGCTTCTCCGACAGCAGGGGGTCATCTCGGAGGCCGCCCTTTGCGCCGCCCTTCTCGTCGAACAGAGGGATATGGATCAGCAGCGACCAGCGCCACGACGAGAACGAGAACGGCTCGCCTTCTACGCCGACAACAACGAAGAGCAAAAACCACGGCGCCTCTACTGCAAAATCTGCAGAAATTTCGGGCATCTGGCGGATCGATGCAAGTACCGATCCCGCCCTCGCCAGACCAATCCGAGCACCTGGTCCGGCCGTCAAGACGCACGAGGCGACGTGCGTCCAGCCCAGGGGTATCAGCCCCCTCCCGCGCGCAATCTGAACCCAGCGGTTCAGCATCAGCAGCAGCAGCCGTCATCGACTGCCCCAGTTCGCAATGTCATGAGCAACATGACCATGGCAGGCGAATCGCGTCGTCGCCGCGTCCGCTCGCCTTCACCTGAGCCGGCACCTCACCCCATTGGCGCATTCACCAACAACAATCCGTTCAGTCCGCGCCACGATTTCACCGACGACGACGACCAAGACTGGAATCTTCCAGTCCCACTGCTTGAAAGTCTCCCGCACGTACCTGATATGCGGGTGGCGCCACTCGATTGGCTCAAGCGCGAGCAATTTTTGAAGTTCGACACTCCGCACATCGTCACGCCGCGACTGGCGCTGCTCGCCCGTGACGACAACAAGCGCTACAACACCTGGTACCTGGACAGCTGCTGCGGCCAGCATATGGTGGGCTCCGAGCGTTACATATCCAACGCCATCCCCACTCCTACCGTCACTTATGTCACTGTGGCGAACAACACGCGCCTGCGCGCAAGCGCGCAAGGCATCGTCGTGCTCAAAGCACGCGGGAGCCGCACGCATATCACGCTCAACGATGTGCTGATCGTCCAGAACCTGTGCTTCAACCTCCTGTCCGCCGCACAGCTCATGGATTGCGGCGTCGACCTCAGCACCGACCGCGCGACGCGAGATATCCTGCTGCACTATGAGGCGCGCAACTTCCCCCGCAGGCAGATCGGACGAGCACACTCTGAAAATGGGGTGTACGTCCTGGACTTCGATATTCCCGACTGCACCGGCGACTCGCACGAGCTCATTGACCTCGTGCCACTGCGCTTTGAGCACATCCACCGCAGGGATTGGAAGCACCCTGACGGCAGGCCGTGGGTGCCACATCATCCCCACCCACGCGAAACGGCGCTTCACAACCCCAATCCCGATGGAATCTGCAGGGATTGTCACACGCCGACAACCTCAACGAGCGCGATCGCAGGCCGCGGACTCGCCGCCATCGCTGAAGCAGAGCACAACGCGCCGCCTGAGGAAGGCATGTCGCAGCTCGAACTTGAAATTGCTACCCACGGTGTTTTCGGCACGAAGGAACATCCCCTTATCGGTCCCCCCTCACAGCACCTGCAAGGCATGCTGCGCGGAACAGGGGTCGGGACCTTCGATGCACTTGGGGAGCCGCGCCCCTACACCTACGAGAAGTTCCTGGAGGACTACTCGACTCAGCGCGACCCGAAGAAGAAGCTTACCGTGGAGCAAGAAGAAGAACTGGCGCGCCGCGAAGCTGAGGTGCTTCGCCAGCAAAGCCTCGCGGAAGCACGCGGGACCTTCGTTTGCGCCGCCTGGGGAGCCGAGGAGGAAGCAAGCGCCTCCAAGAAGGGGGGTGGGGAAGCGCTGGAGGATGGGGAACAAGCGACACCGGCGGATGGGGAGACAACGCCGGAACCTGGGCCAACGCGAGCGGCGGATGGGGCACCGCATCTGGAGCCGGCAATAGCGGCTGGGGCACTTCCCGCAAAGAACGAAGGGGGGAAGAGGAAGAAGCCGCGGAAACCGAAGCAGCACCTGCAGTCGTTCGCGAGGGCCTCTACCTGCAGGAGCTTCCGCAAGAGGCGAAAATTCCAACTTCGCCCACATTCCACCTTCACTGCGACAACCAGAGCGCGATTCGCATCGCGAACAAACCTGGTTTCGTCAACCGCACCAAGCACATCGCGCTGCGGTACTTCTTCGTGAAGGACGAGGTGGACAAGGGCAAGGTCAACTTGACCTACTGCCCGACGGGTGACATGGCAGCAGACTTCCTCACGAAGCGACTACCACGCCAGCAGTATCAGCACTCCTCCGAACTCAGCGGCGTGGTCAAGCAGGTCAAGTCGAGCTACGGCCAGGAGTGAAGGGGGGTGTTACGAATAGTAATATTTGATATTACTGTGCACTCCTCACCGCAGCAAAGGGAAGCAGGCAATATCGAGAATGAATGTGAAGCGTCTATCAACAGGACTAAGCAAGAATGTGTCATTGAATGGAAGAATTGGGTACAAGTAGCAAACCCTAGTTGGGGTTGTACCCCATACTGGCTACCCCACTACAGCCTACCAACATAACACAGTTTAACACACCCCCATAGGCAAAGTGGGGGAGAACAAAGGGTCACAAGACCAGTCTAGCAAAGCAAAGCAAGCCCAGGGTGGATCACAACGTCACCACACTCCGAGCACAAGCAAAGGCCACAAGGCCAGTTCACATGCAGTGCTAGATATAGTACAAGACAAGCAACACAGTGATCAAGACCTAGCAAGCAAGCAACGAGATATATATAAAGGACAGTACAAAGAAAGTCAAGCAGTAAGCAAATGAGGGAATGTGGACACAAGGCCTAAGGAAGTACAGTGCCGCTGATGATCACTAGGCGGGAGCGCCTTGGTGAAGATATCAGCAGTGTTGGCCTTCGAGTCCACGTACACAAGCCGAAGCTGACCTCGCTGCTGCAGCTCTCGAGCAAGAAAGTAGCGAAGAGCAATGTGCTTCGTCCTGTGCTCCAGTCTGTGCTCCTGACACAAGGCAAGGGCCGCCTTGTTGTCACCGTACAGAACTGGAGGAGAACTAGGCCGCTCTCCCAAGTCAGTCAGCAGGTAGGTGAGCCAGCGTAACTCCTGGGCAGCCATGGCTGTGGCGTAGATCTCAGCCTCACAACTAGAGCCGAGAACAGAAGAAGAGCGGGTGGACCGCCACGAGACAGAACCAGAGCCAAGGCTGAAGGTGTAACCCTGTGACGACCGCTGCGTAGCCAGGTCGTCCACCCAAGAAGCGTCCGAGTGGCCAGTGAGGACAACTCTGTCGCGTCCTCCAAGCACCAGCCCCATGCCTGATGTACTGCACAAGTAGCGCAGCACCCTCTTAGCAGCCTCCCAGTGCTCTCGCCTGTGTCTCCCAGGCGCAACGTAACGAGCAAGGATGCTAAGAGGGTACGCGAGGTCAGGTCGCGTGCAAGTCATCAGGTACATGAGGCAGCCCACAAGCTCTGGGTATGGGCCACTCGGCTCTACGGACTCGTCCGGAGGTGGAGCTGAGAGCGAGTGGCTGGTAGCCAGAGGTGTGGCCTGTGGTGAGGAGAACTGGAAGCCGAAGCGCTGAAGGACCTGCTGCACCATGTGTGACTGAGTCAGGGTGATGGTGCGGCGAGCTCTGTCCCGGGTGATCTGCAAGCCAAGGTAGCTACGCAGCTCACCCAGGTCAGTGCAGGTGTGTCTCTTCTGCAGCTCCGACTTCACACGAGCGAGTGCCTCAGTGTCAGCAGTAGCAAAGACCAAGTCGTCGACGTACACGAGAATGTAGAACGGCGGCAGCGACGTGTCTGTGCGCAGAAACAGCGACGGGTCAGCAGTAGACGGCGCGAACCCAAGAGCCGCAAGTGTAGTCCTCAGTGTGTCGTGCCACTCGCGTGGCGCCTGGCGGAGACCGTAGACTGGCCGGCGGAGGCTCCACTGGGTACCAGGAGGAAACGACCCAGTAAAGCCAGGTGGGCGGCGCAGCCAGATCTCCTCGTGCAGGCTGCCCTGCAGGAACGCTGTGCTGAAGTCAAGAGAGTGAAGCTCGTAGTCACGCTGAGCAGCAACGTGCAGCAGAACCCGAAGAGTGGTCATCTTCGGGGTGGGGGAGAAGGTCTGGAAGAAGTCGACCCCCTGACGCTGACTGAAGCCTCTAGCAACGTAACGAGCCTTGAAGACAGGCGGAGAACCTGGCGGCCGCTTCACCCTGAAAATCCACATGCCATCGACGATGTTCGCCCCAGGAGGGGGAACCTCGTCGACGTAGGTGCCTGTGGACTTCCAGGATGCCATCTCTGCGTCCATGGCTGTCTGCCACTGAGAGGAGTAGGGACCCGAGATCGCCTCTGCGTAAGTGCGCGGAGTGGGGATGTCTAGTGCATCCGGGTCTCCCTCAGGGGCAAGCAACCAGGCCACGAGATGAGGTACAGCAGCCGCGAGAGAGTCAAAGTCCTCCTGCCTGTCCTCAAGGACGTCCGTGCCAAGAGCACACTCACCCCCGACGGACGGAGGACAGACAGACGCAGACTCAGACCCAGCAACAAGGCGAGCAGCGTAGTCTAGACGACAGGCAGCAGCAAAGTCAACCAACTCAGCGACCAGAGCAGACGCAGCCGAGGACTCAAAGGTAGGGTCAGTGACAACAGTAGCTAGGAGACGCGTGACAGTAGGGTGCTCAGCACGATACCGGTCAGACTCAGGGTCCGGAACAGCAGGCAAAGAGGACGCAGGAGGAGACGGCAGAGGGACACGCTGAGGAGCAGTAGAGGGACGCAGAGTCATGTAGTGAGTGCCTGGGACAGGAGGAGGACGCTCACGACGGACACGACGACCAGTGCGAGCAGTACGGACAGGCGACGCAGGACGAGACTCAGGCTCACGACGCTCTGTAAGACCTCCTGTGGGACCAGTGTAAGGAGAGGGAGCAGGGAGAGGCGAGGCAGGCGGTAACAGTGACTGCGGCTGGACAGTCGGAGGACACTCTACGGAGGGAGGAGGACAAGGAGGAGGAGCCTGCCCAAGAACCTGCTGAAGGAGCGGTATGAAGTACGGTCGCGGCCGCGCAGCGTCTCCAGAAGCAGAAGAGACTCCAGCGTCCGGGTCCCCAGCACCAGCAGCAGCGCCACCGCTCGGGTCCTCAGCTCCAGCAGCAGCTCCACCAGGTGGGTCCGCAGCACCAGCAGCAGCACCACCCCCAGGGTCCGCAGCACCGCAAGGAAGAGCACCCCCAGAGTCGGCAGCTACAACTCCGCTAGCGCCGCCAGCTCCAGAGTCCCCAGCTCCAGCAGCTCCAGTCGTAGTGCTCCCAGAACAACCAGTCCCGGCAGCTCCAGTACCCCCAGCTCCAGCCGAGCCACTAGGACGGCGAAAGCGCCGGACGTACCAGTCACGAAGCTGCTGTGGTGTGAGAGACTGCTCAGCACCCCGAACCGGAGCACCCCCAGACGCAGCAACCCGAGGCTCCGTAGGCTCAGTAGCAGCACCCCCAGGCTCAGTACCCGCAGGCGCAGCACCCCCAGACTCAGCACCCCCAGACTCCGCACACGCCGGCTCAGCACCCCCAGTCGCAGCACCCCCAGGCTCAGCACCCCCAGGCGCCGAACTCTCAGGCACAGTACCCTCAGCTCCAGCACCCGTAGTCCCGGCACCACCAGGCCCAGCACCCGCAGGCTCAGCACTCCCAGCAGCACCACCTGCAGCAGCACCTGAGTCACCTGTGACCTCGACAGGCTCAGCGACGGGAGGAGGGTCTACCTGAGAGACACCTGAAGGAGCAGGACCCTGAGGGGGAAGGGGGTCTACCGGAGGGGGACCAGGAGCAAGGAAAAGCGGCGGGGGAGACGGTAAAAAGGGACCGACTCGTCAAAGGTGACGTCCTGAGAGGCGAAGACCCGGCGCGAGGTGGGGTGGTAAAACTGCCAGCCCGGCGCGTCAGGGACAAAGCCAAGGAAGACACAGGGAAGCGTGCGGGAGGAGAGCTTGTCCGCGGACGTATCGCGGACAAGGGCACGAGCACCCCACACCCGGAAGCGCGACGCATCGCCAACCTCCCCCGTCCAACGCAGTGTGGGCGAGGTCTCCGGCAAGGAGACACGGGGCCAGAGGTTGAGCTGATGCGCGGCGTACCGGACAGCAAACGGCCACAGAAAATGGGGAGCCGCCGCGTGGACCAAGGAGGTACGAGCGACCTCCATGACCAGGCCAATGCGGCGCTCAGCAACCCCATTCTGCTGTGGGGAGTCCGGAAGCGTGAAGGTCTGCTCGATGCCCTCCGCCTGACAGAAGGTCCTCAAGAGGTCGGAGGAAAACTCACCACCTCTGTCAGAGTGCAGACGCAGGACAGGAAGATCCGTCCGGAAACGGCGGCGGAGCTGGAGACGAACTGTGCGGATCCAAGGGATCAGAACAGCAGGGACCTCACCCTTGGTGCGCAAGGGGAAGACCGTGGTGTAACGCGAGTAGTCGTCGACAACCAGCAAAAAGTACCGCTCACCGCCTTGGCCACGAACGCGGGCTGGGCCCCACACGTCCTGGTGGAGGGTCTGCAGAGGAGCCCCTGTCGGGGGGAACGAGGAGGAGTGAGGAGCGGCGCGCTGCCGCCCCTCGACGCAAGGAAGGCAAGGCGGCGCAGGCGAGGAAGGGAGAGGAGGGAGGGACCTGGGAAGACCAGACACAAGGCGGCGACGGTGCATGCCACGGAGGCGTGGCAAGGAGGGGTGACCCAGGCGGTGGTGCCAGAGAAGAGTCTGGTGCGACAGGGAACGACACTCACAGGCGTGGGCCACCAGACCTGACGCGGACACCTGACCGACAGCAGCGACCTGAGGAGACGCAGTGGTCAGTGTGTAGAGACTCGACCCCGGCCGACGAGTAAACGTAGCCAGGTGACGGCCGGTCCTGGAGCACGTGCAGATCGCCACACGCTGTCCTCCAGGGGTAAAGGTGTCAACCCACTGATCCTGGATGACAGCGTTGCTCACCAGGTTCGTCGAGAACGAGGGGAGGTGGAAACCCGTCAACGAGCCAGACGGAACCGCCGGACAAGGGAGCACAGTGGTGGACTGGGCAAGGACTGGGCCCCCAGAGGGGTCAGCCAAGGAGACTGGGACCGGTGCAGGAAGCGGTGTGAGCTCAGTACTGTCTCGAAAGAAACAGCGGGAAGCACCTGAGTCAAGGGTGAAGGTGTGACAGGTCTCAGCCGGTGCAGTACCTGAGAGAGCAGTCTCTGTGGGTGCTGTACCTGAGAGAGCAGACTCGCAAGCAGCAGGGACAGTGCTGGAGGGAGCAGGTACAGGGGGCACCATACCAGAGAGAGCAGACTCACTAGTACCTAGGGCAGCGGGCCCTATACCTGGGTCAGGCGGCACACACAAGTAACAGTCTCCCTCGGCACTAACAGTCAATGCATACATGGCAGCAATAATAGCATCATAGTCAAGAGCAAAGATATCAACACCAGCCCTCATCAGCTCAGCCCAGCGAGGGCGCTCAACATCCTCGCCCATCTCCTCACGCCAAGCGTCGTCAAGGCGGAAGAAGCAGCGGTACTGAGTGTGGAACTTTCCACACGTCTGCCCCTTGCGATCACCTGTGCGAATGACATAGGAACAGCGGCCACTGCCCCCCGACGTCCCACGCTGAGCAAGCCACTCACGAAGCTGCTGGGTCGACTGGGGACGCTGCTGCTGCTGGGAGCTCTGGCCCGAGCCGGTGCCTCCACTCCGACCTCCACCGCCGCCACTACCTCCGCTCCGACCGCCACCACCGCCACCGCCACCGCCACCGCCACTACCGCCACCGCCGCCACTGCCGCCGCTGCCACCACCGCCACTGCTCCCGCCGCCGCCCCCGCCTCCGCCGCCGGCCCCACTCCCACCAGCACTCCCGCCACCGCTCCCTCCAGCACCGCCTCCCCCCCCACCTCCCCCACCCCCTCCCCCCCCAGCGCCACCCCCGCCACCCTTGCCCCCCTTGCCCTTGCCGGTGCGGCGCCTCCCACCAGGAGCAGAAGCAGCGCCAGCAGACTCAGCACCAAGGAAGTCAACAGCAGCAGCAGTAGCATAGGAGGGAGCGAGGGGAGAGGGAGAGCACCCCTCAAAGATGGGGGTGCGAGGAGCGCCGCGAGCAGCACCTACAGCTACAATGCTCTTCTCGGCTGCTAGCAGCTTCTCCTCTAGGAGGGCGACAGTGAGCTCAGTGGGACAGCGAGCAAGGAAATAGTCGCGCACTGAGCTGAGGGTGTCAGGGAGACGGGTGACTATGAAGTGGAGTGCCCAGTACAGGGGAGGGGGGTTCTTAGCGCAGAACTCGGTGGGAAGGGCGGCACGCAGGCGAGCATCACTAGTGCGAAGGTGGGTGATAAGATCGGCGACTGTAGCAAAGGTGGACAGGTCAGGGAACAGGTAAGGCAGCATGAGACGGCTAAGCTCGGCTGTGGCAGGTGAGGAGTAGCGAGCAACGACAGCGTCGTATAGGGCTTTAGCGGTTTTGCAGTCGCCAAAGTGCTCTAGCTCAGCTAACGGCAGGTGACTGCGAATAGCCAGGCGAGCTGCAGCGTCACGAGTCTGCCACTGTGAACGTACACTAAGCTCGGCTGTGGCAGCAGGAGCAGCGGCAGCACCAGACGCGTAGTCATAGAGGGAGATGTGGTCCGTGCTATTGCTCATAAGATACAACTGCAGGTCGTCGAGCCAGGAAGTGAACTGCACGGGACGGCCCTCAGCATCGAAGGAAAGAACGCGAATAGAGGCCATAGCTCAGGCGTGAGGGCACAGCAGAGCAGCGGCAGCAGCAGAGGGGACGCGCTAGAGCGAAGCTAGCAGCCACAGCAGGAGCAAGCGGCGGTGCACAGGCAGGGAGCAGCAGGCGAGGCGGGCGGCGCTGCAGGCGGGAAGTGCGGCGGGCGGGCTGCGAAGCGGGCAGCGGGGCGGGCGGGCGACGCGGCGAGCGGGCAGCGCGGCGGGCGGCTGCGAAGCGGGCAGCGGGCGGGCGGGCGACGCTGCAAGCGGGCAGCGGGCGGGCGGGCGACGCTGCAAGCGGGCAGCGAGGCGGGAGGGCGACGCTGCGAGCGGGCAGCGGGCGGGCGGGCGACGCTGCGAGCGGGCAGCGAGCGAGCGGGCGACGCTGCGAAGCGGGCAGCGGGCGGGCGGGCGACGCTGCGAGCGGGCAGCAAGCGGGCGGGCGACGCTGCGAAGCGGGCAGCGGGCGGGCGGGCGACGCTGCGAGCGGGCAGCGAAGCGGGCGGGCCGCGAAGCGGGCAGCGAGCGGGCGGGCGGGCTGCGAAGCGGGCAGCGGGGCGAGCGGGCTGCGAAGCGGGCAGCGGGGCGAGCGGGCGACGCTGCGAGCAGGCAGCGCGGCGGGCGGGCGGCGAGCGGGCAGCGTGGCGGGCGGGCGACGCTGCGAGCAGGCGGCTCGGCGGGCGGGCGACGCTGCGAGGGGCGCGCGAGGGCGCTAACGAGGGGCGCTCGAGGGCGCTAGCGAGGGCGCGCGAGGGCGCTAACGAGGGGCGCGCGAGGGCGCTAACGAGGGCGCGCGAGGGCGCTAACGAGGGCGCGCGAGGGCGCTAACGAGGACGCACGAGGGCGCTACGAGGCTAGGGCACGGGGTAGCGTGGTAACCGCATGCGAGCGGTGGTGGGCCCTTAAAAGAAACGGTCGATAGGTCCTAGGGACCTCCTGCTCTGAATACCATGTCAACAGGACTAAGCAAGAATGTGTCATTGAATGGAAGAATTGGGTACAAGTAGCAAACCCTAGTTGGGGTTGTACCCCATACTGGCTACCCCACTACAGCCTACCAACATAACACAGTTTAACAGCGTCAGACAGTTGGAATCGAACCGAAGAGTCAGACGGTTACAGCACATCTGGACCGTCGGAAGCAGACGGCATCGGGCAGCTGCAGGCAGAATGGTTTTGGCGGGAACAGTTACGAAACTGTACGCGCCGCACAGTTGGGAATGAATTTGAATAAGGGAATGTACCCCTTAGGGTACATGGCTAGTTAGGTCATTTCGTATTCCCTTGTACTCATATTTATATTTCTTGTGTTTGCATGTTTTATTTCATTTCAAAGCATTTTACATTCACTCTGCTATTGAGGTCAAGGGCCCACCAAACTATCTTACTGCGTGCGAACCTTCCCGGGTAGATCCTGGGCTACGATCAACTTCTGATCGCAGCAGTCGGGAGGAACGGGATCCTACAGGATCCTAACCTAGGTGATACCATGTCAGAATCGGAAGTGTTGGTTCATTGATGATGGTTGGGGTACAAGTAGATTAGTTTCTCTTAATAATAAAAAGAGAAACTAATCTAAAGATGAAAAAAAAAATGATAACCTAGTAGATTTAGCTAGCTTATGGATATGTTAAATCGCTACAACGCAATGGCGCAACGATCGAGCGGCGTAATGATTGAGCGGCGCAGCGACGCAACGACGCAACGAGGCAACAACGCAACGGCGCAAAGATCCGACGGTGCAATGATGACATACGATGTAATAAATTGCAACAACACAACCACTCAATGGCGGATCTGCATTTACTAGAAATACTACATGTTATAATGTATGTTCCATTTTAGACTAGCTAGTATATGTGGCACATTGTAAAGATTGCGCTGAAGTACATTCCCACCTCTGAGCAGCCAGCTGACTTCCTGACAAAGGGGCTGCACTTTCCGGCCTTCAACCAGTGCTCCGTCGCGATCGGCCAAGTTCGTCTGGCAGACGTTGGCGACGGTGACGATGATGTGCAGCAGTAGGTGCCGTGCCCTTATGCACGGCTGGTGCGGTGATCGACGTGCTGTGTGTTGTGTGCACGCCGAAGCATTTTTCCCGTGTATTATAGCCCTTGGGTTCTGGGTGGACCTGGTGTGTGGGGTGCCCAAGCGTGAGCGCGGCAGGGGAGTGTTGAAGGAAATTGGCCCCGCCCTCGCATGGGCAAATTGACTTGTGTTCGGGTGTGTGGGAGGTGCAGCCGACCTTCCGCAGAGGTCGACGAAGGTGGTCGTCGACCTGCGCGGAACCACTGTGACTTCGTCGACAAAGGAGTTCGACGAAGGAGTTCAACGAGGATGGTCGACGAAGCAGTTCGTCGACCAGAGTGGCGCAGCCGGTGCAGAAGTTCGCGGGTGTCCGTCTGCGCAGGGTCGCGTTTGACTCTGCGCAACATTGAGACTGCACAAGCGAATTTTGGCCAGAAATTCGAATGTGCCCTAATTTCGACCAATCAGGGGCTGACATTTTGAAATGTCGACCGAGGTGCTCGACGAAGGTGCTCGGCGAAGGTCGTCGAGCCCCGACGACGAAGGTCGTCAACCCGCGACGACGAAGGTCGTCAACCGGTGATGACGAAGGTCGTCATCCTGCAGAGATGTCATCCTCCAGGTACCTTACCTGGTTGACCAAGTTACCTGCTCGACGAGGTACGAAGGTGTGCGAACGTCGTCGAGGCTGCTGTGGCGAAGTCGACCGACGTGGCAGCACGTGGTCGACGTGGCTCATCATGTGCAACCGTCAGCATGTGGCTGACAACCTGCGCAATGTACTAGACAGTGCACGTCGTGCATAACTGTCTACAAGCACCTGCGATGTAGGTGCTTGCACATGCGCTTACAATCACCTGCGGGTGCAGTGTTGGCAAGCCGCACGGATGCTGCATTGGCAAGCCGCGCGGATGCAGCGTTGGCAGGCCGCCATTCTGCAGCGTTGGCAAGTCGCACACCAGCTGCGTTGGCGGGCCGTGGAGATGCTGCGTTGGCAGGTCGTCAACTTTGTCGTGCTGGCGATCGACCTGCCTGAGTGCTAGCAAACCTTGCATGTGATGTAGTCAAGCTTTGTCATTGCATGTTCATTCGTAACTCTGTTATTCTCAACTTTCCTTAGTGTAACTCTTGCTATTTTGCCTTGTGAAAACACAAGTCCTAGAGAACACAGACAGAGCTACGATCACTCCTACAACTCATGCCTACCTAGTAGTCTAGCTCCCACCGTTGTAGAGTTAATCTCCTCAGACATTTGAGTCGACTCACACAAACACTTATCCTTTGGGCGACATTTGAGTCGACTCACACAAACACTCATCCTTTGGGCGACATTTGAGTCGACTCACACAAACACTCATCGTTTGGGCGACATTTGAGTCGACTCACAAAAACACTCATCCTTTGGGCGACATTTGAGCCGACTAAGAAAAAAACTCATTCCTAGGGGGACATTTGAGTCGACTCACATAAACACTCATCCTTTGGGCGACATTTGAGTCAACTCACACAAACACTCATCTTTTAGGCGACATTTGAGTCGACTCATACAAACACTCATCTTTTGGGCGACATGTGAGTCGACTCACACAAACACTCATCCTTTGGGCGACATTTGAGTCGACTCACACAAGCACTCATCCTTTGGGCGACATTTGAGTCGACTCACACAAACACTCATCCTTTGGGCGACATTTGAGTCGACTCAGAAAAAAACTCATTCCTAGGGGGACATTTGAGTCGACTCACACAAACACTCATCCTTTGGGCGACATTTGAGTCGACTCACACAAACACTCATCCTTTGGGCGACATTTGAGTCGACTCACACAAACACTCATCCTTTGGGCGACATTTGAGTCGACTCACACAAACACTCATCTTTTAGGCGACATTTGAGTCGACTCACACAAACACTCATCTTTTAGGCGACATTTGAGTCGACTCACACGAACACTCATCCTTTGGGCGACATTTGAGTCTACTCACACAAACACTCATCCTTTGGGCGACATTTGAGTCGACTCACACAAACACTCATCCTTTGGACGACATTTGAGTCGACTCACACAAACACTCATCATTTAGGCGACATTTGAGTCGACTCACACAAACACTCATCTTTTGGGTGACACTGAGTCGACTCACACAAACACTCATCCTTTGGGCGACATTTGAGTTGACTCACACAAACACTCATCTTTTGGGCGACATTTGAGTCGACTCACACAAACACTCATCCTTTGGGCGACATTTGAGTCGACTCACACAAACACTCATCCTTTGGGCGACATTTGAGTCGACTTACACAAACACTCATCCTTTGGGCGACATTTGAGTCGACTCACACAAACACTCATCTTTTGGGCGACATTTGAGTCGACTCACACAAACACTCATCCTTTGGGCGACATTTGAGTCGACTCACACAAACACTCATCCTTTGGGCGACATTTGAGTCGACTCACACAAACACTCATCCTTGGAGCGACATTTGAGTCGACTCACACAAACACTCATCCTTTGGGCGACATTTGAGTCGACTCACACAAACACTCATCCTTTGGGCGACATTTGAGCCGACTTACACAAACACTCATCCTTTGGGCGACATTTGAGTCGACTCACACAAACACTAATCCTTTGGGCGACATTTGAGTCGACTCACACAAACACTCATCCTTTGGGCGACATTTGAGTCGACTCACACGAACACTCATCCTTTGGGCGACATTTGAGTCGACTCACACGAACACTCATCCTTTGGGCGACATTTGAGTCTACTCACACAAACACTCATCCTTTGGGCGACATTTGAGTCGACTCACACGAACACTCATCCTTTGGGCGACATTTGAGTCTACTCACACAAACACTCATCCTTTGGGCGACATGTGAGTCGACTCACACAAACACTCATCCTTTGGACGACATTTGAGTCGACTCACACAAACACTCATCATTTAGGCGACATTTGAGTCGACTCACAC